AAGTAGGCATCTTTGCCTTGTTTCTGATCTTAGAGGAAAAGCCTTGAGTCATTTATCATTCAGCATGATGTCACTGTGAGTTTTTTATATATGGCTTTTATTAGGTTGAGGATGTTTCTTTCATTTCTAGTTTGATTGGTTTTATACTGAAAGGTTGTTGAATTTTGTCAAATGTCTTTTCTGCATTAATTGATATGATCTTGTGTTATTTTTTCTTCATTCTGTTGTGGCATATTACATTGATGGATTTCTGTATTTTGAGCCATCCTTGTATTCCAAGAGTACATCTCACTTGGTCATGGTGTATAATTATTTTAATATGTTGCTGAATTCTGTTTGCTAGTGTTTTGTTGACAATTTTTGCACCAGTGTTCATAAGATATTGGTCTGTACTTTTCTATTCTTGCAGTGTCTTTATCTAGCTTTAGTATTAAGGTAATTCTACTTTCATAGAATGAGTTAGGAAGTGTTTCTTCCTCTTCAATTTTTGTAAAAGTTAAAGAATGTTTAGTATTTGTTTTTCTCTATATGCTTAGTAGAATTCATCAGTGCAGTAATCAGGCTTTTTTCTCCTGTAAAAAAAATATCAGTATGGGTGAAATTTTAAAAGTCTAACTCTGATTTTTAAATTATTCCAGATCTTGTGATATCTAAAGATGCTCTCTAAAAGAAAAAAACACCTGAATATATTAAAACTTTTTGTTTTCATTTGTTTTATGTAGTTTAGTTATTAAGTTTACATGTATTATGCATTTGAACCCTTTGAAATATTTTAATTTGTGAAAATTAATTGTTATTTCATTCATTTATTTTCTGTAATTTAAAAAATATTCTACCACAGATGCTTTTTAAGGTTCTGGAGTTAAACTTCTAAATCAAATACTTAATCTGCCTCTGCTTTTGAGGTTTTTAGTTATTTCTTGGCCTGTGGCCAAATAACAACCAGTGCACAGATTAGCCTGATGTACTAGCTTTATTCTTCCATCACAATAGTCTAGGTGTGTTCAGGATTTTGCATCATCCTTGCAGTTAGTTCAACAGCCATCCTCTTTTTGGTTTTGGCTTTCAACAGTCTACCTTCAAAGGTCTTTTGTTTTCTGACGGTTGAAGAAACTGGCTCAGTGTTACTCGTAGACAATTATTTAATTGTTTACAGATAACTGAAACTCTCAATGATGGTTTCTGTGGTGAATCCCTTTACTTCAGTGAAGGCTTGTCATGTTGAAATGATTGTTCATCATGATTTTTGATGATTGAGAAAATTGTTTTTAAACCAAATAGCATCAAAAATGTATTCTTTCCTGATTTTGTCCTGCTTATATTGTTCTTTTCTGATTTTGTCCTGCTTATAATGTGGATTATTAACAAATCTTTTTCCTTTTTAAACCTAAGGCATAGCAGATTTAATGCTTGGTTGCTGCTGTTATAACATGCTTAAAGAAATACACTCTATAGAAATTTTCACTTTATTGAAATAATATAAATTATTTTGATAACTGCAAATAAGGATGAACCTATCTTATACAATAAAGAGTTTAGAACTTTAAAAATATATCACATCAACAACCCTAATTAACCCCAAGGGAGCAGTTTAGTGAAGAATATTTTGAATTCTTAATGTAATATTTATACTTATTGGTTTATGTTCATTATTGTCAGTGTTTCTGATTATGACTTTGTTTTATTTAAACTTTATTAGTACATTTTCATGAGTGATTTTCCATGGGGGATACGTTTTCACTTTTATTAAGCGAACCAGTAGGAAAATATGATTTGTTTTCCACAGTTGATTTCAGCCAAACTATCAGTAACACATCTGTTTCATGAAGTTAAGTACACCTGGAACATGATAATGTATAATTATTTCCTTACAGAATTGGTTAGAACAGTCACATTAAACAACTATCAGCCAGCGTTTACTGATCACTTACCAAGTGCTTTACATGTGTTAATTCATTTAGGTTATAAATGTTTAACATACATATTTTGCTTCTTTCCTCTTTCTATTTCCTTCCCCTTCTCCAGGCTGGTGTCCCTCAAGACAGTTACATTTAAGAAAGAGCCCGTTAGCCCTTGCCAGGTGGCTCAGTTGGTTAGAGCATCATCCTCTACATCAAAAAAGGTTGCGGGTTCAATTCTTGGTTGTGGCACATACTTAGGTTGAGAGTTCAGTTCCCAGGTGGGGTGCATACTGGAGGCACCCGATCAATGTTTCTCTCCCTTCCTCTCTCTCTAAAAATCAAAAAATATCCTCAGCTGAGGATTAGAACAAAGAAAAGAAATAGCCCAAGTCAGAAACAGGAGTAGCTTCTATTATGGTTGTCCACTTAGCCCAGTCAGCATGGCTTAGCGGTTGAGTGTTGGCTTATGATCCAGGTGATCGGGGTTCGATTCCCGGTCAGGGCACATGCCTGAGTTGCTGGCTTGATCCCCAGTGGGGGGCGTGCAGGAGGCAACCTATCAATGACCCTCTCATCATTGATGTTTCTCTCTCTCCCTCTCCCTTCCTCTCTCTGAAATCAATAAAGATTGCCCGCTTAATTTATGGAGCTTTCCATTGATAATAGAATAAAAAAGAGGAAGGGATCAGACGTAAGTAGTATCAGGAGATAGAGAAGATTCCCTGGATGGATGCAGATTTAACTTGAGTAAGTGTCAATTATGATGGGGAATCACAGGTGAATGAATGGTGGGGCCTGCTGCATCAAGCAGATTACTGAGCCACTTGAGGAGAGAACTTCAATTGGCTTTGAGAAGCCGAGCGATGGAATTTTAAAAACATGGCAAGCCAGACAAGGTGATACTTTTTGCCAAAGAGTCAGCAGGAAGATGAAAAACAGAACCTGTAAACAGCAAGGCTGGAATAACTGGTTTGGGCCAGTGGATGGACAAGAAGCCTAGTCTTAGATTTCCAAAGAATAAAGGAGAGAAATACATGTTTTAAACAAAGAGCTTCATGCACATGATGAGTATTGGCTGTATCTTTGAATATATATGCTGTTACTTTATATCTCATGTCAGGTGATTGCTTATCTTACGGTTGTATCTTATCTACATTTGTATGTAGCTAGGATGTTTGATACAGATTTATTCTGGGGAGGCAGCCTGGTGTGAAAACAGCATGGAATTTGAAATTTGATAGGCCCAGATTTGAATTTCAGCTCTTGAGATTTGAGTTACAGGCCTTGGGCAAGCTACTTATTTCACCCCTATCCCCCAGTTTTACAGAGATGTGGTTGACATATAACACTGCTTAAGTTTAAGTTACAACATTATGATTTGATATATGTATATGTTGTGCAGTGTTTACCTCAATAAGTTTAGTTAACATCTAACACCCTACATAGTTACAAGTTTTCCCATAGTGATATGAACTTTTAAGATCTACTCTCTTAGCACCTTTCAAATGTAGTATGGTATTGGTAACCATAGTTACCCTGCTATATGTCACATCCCCAGAATTTATTTATCTTGTAAGTGGAAATTTGTACCTTCAGACCACCTTCACCCATTTCCCCCACAACCCCCCCCCGGATCCCACCCTCTGGCAACCACTAATCTGTTCCCTATTTCTACAAGGGTTTTTTTTAAATTTCACATATAAGAGAGATCATATAGTATTTATCTTTATCAATCTGACTTATTTCACTAAGCATAATGCCATTGAGGTCCATCCATGTTATCACAAATGGCAGAATTTCCTTTTTTCTAGTTGAATAATATTCCATTGTATATATACATACACCACGTTTTTAAAAATCCACTTATCCATCCATGGTCACTTAGGTTGTTTCCATATCTTGGCTATTATAAATAATGCTACAATGAACATGTATCCTTTTGAGTTAGTGTTTTAAAAACTAAAATGTTGGTTTTACTCTTGTAATTTAAAAATATTATTTAAATAAACTTTCTTATTTTAAGATAAAAGAAACATGTATAATAAAATAGACCTGTGTTAAAATGATAAGGCTCAAGCCTTAGCCGTGTGGCTCAGTTGGTTGGAGCATTGTCCCATACACCAAAAAGGTTGTGGGTTCGATTCCCAGTCAGGGCACATACCTAGGTTGTGGGTTCAATCCCTGGTTGGGGCAGGACGGGAGGCAGCTGATATAAGTTTCTGTCTCACATCTATGTTTCTTGGTCTCTCTCTTTCTCCCTTCCTGTCTCTCTAAAATCAATAAAAACATATCCTTGGGTGAAGATTTAAAAAAAAGATAAGACTCAACAACACTGAAAAACAAAACAAATCTCTTCAGGGATTCAGTTGCTCTAGGATGATAAATTTAATTAATTAAACATTAAATGAAAGTAGAATGGTAACACTAGCTTTAAAAAATAGAAAAATAGAATTATTTCCCAATAGTCTTTAGACATGATAAATAATTAATATAATGAATAACAAAGGTTTAAAAGATCATTTTACAAATGCTTTAAAATTTCAAAGTGAGAAAAATTGAACATTGGACTTGTTTAAATATTTTTTTTCCTGATTTCAAACAGTGAAAAATATGTGAAAATTTCTAAGGTTGTATTTTTTATGAAAATGCTATGTTGACTATTATCATGTCAGTTAAAAGTTAAATGAATATGCTTTGTCATTTCCAAATAATATGGTATGTATAGGAGATACTAAAATTTTAGTTTTATGATAGTCAAAGAAATGTCAATGGTTTAAAAATAGTGTGGGTCTTGAACTTCTTTTGGTTAATCATTCTAAGACTTCGTAAACTTTGTTCCACATGGATATGTGCATTTGAAGATAATATTACGTGATTTGGTGATTTGTACAACCATTCTTGAAAATGGTTGAAACATAATTGCAGATTTCTGTGCCTGGTAGAAATAACATAAATATGAAGTATGGTAGATATTTGTTTTTTTATATCTCTTATATAAATTGCAGATATTACTAAAATAGCACTTTGGTGTGTTTTCTCCATGTTATACGTACACTGTCTTTAAAATTTGAGCCTTACTTACTGCTATCATTTGAACAGGTGTCTCAATGCTTGTACCTACTGCAAAACCAAACACGCCAGAGGGAACTTGGCCAGTTATCCAATTGATGAACTAGTGGACAGAGCCAAACAGTCTTTTCAAGGTAAGAGTGCCTAGAATTATGTACAGTTTTAGTCTTAATAAATTACAGTAGTCTTCTAATTTGTTTTACTTTACATACATGCTTCTTTAGCCTTCTGAAGAGTTTACAAATATTTCAACTTATAAGATTCAGTCAGTCAGGTTATAATATTCACACATTACTGTTCTTTAACCACTCTTTCATTTTTTTTATGACTCTAAGGTAAGTGACATGACTTAACTCTTATCACCTATCTTTAGATTCCATGGAAAAGACCAAAAAAAATTAAATCCATGACCTTTCGGTGTGTGTTAAGACTTTTGTGGACTGAATGATACATTTTTTAAGATTTCTGCCTCTTTCTTTGGTCATTTCTGGACCATTAGAAAATAGAGGGAATAAGGACCTCCCAGTCTTGAAGGGAGAAGGTAGATTTTACTGTCGGCCAATAAAAATAGGCTTCCTTATCCACAGGACTATTGGACCAGTAAGGAGTGGTACCGGTAGAGAGCCCTAAAGAGAATGATTCCTTGTGTGGGTGGCGAGCTATTTCTGAATCATCACTTGCTGGAAAATGTGATTGTCTAGGTATCTCTCAGCACAAAACAAGACTTATCTTTTACATGAGTCACAGTTGTCTTGGTTGACACATAACTGCTTAAACCTAAACTTCCCTTTTTGTCTTTGTTTATAATATGTGTATATAACATCAGTGTGTTTTTACACCCAACATGAGATAATCTATTGTCTCATAATCTTGTGGGTTAAGAGTTACTGGCAATGTACTTTTCCTTTTAGCAAGTACCTTGGAGTGCTACTTTCAGTACTTCACAGCCTGAATCTCAGCGAGTACGAGTTCCAAACACATTTCTTTATTTAGTCTGCGTAAAGCTTTTATCAACATGAATTTGGAATGCTCTTAATAATAGTGAGAAAAATAACCTTGGTTGATTTATTAACACCTCCCAATAATTTTTTTCTACTTTTATATTCTTAACTCAGTTGGTCCATTCTTCTGTTCCCATTCAACTTGTATTAAACAAGAAATGAAAGGAAACTCACTGACCCTTGCCAGTGTCCTGTTTTAGAGTGAGGCAGTTATCTAATCCAAGGAAAAGTCTGAGTGGTAGTTTTTGTTTTTTTTTCAATTCTCACCCAAGGATATTTTATTCCATTGCTTTTCAGAGAGGGAAGGGATAGAGCTAGAAAAACATCGATGTGAGCTCTCTCGTCGATTGTTTGCCTACTGCACTTTCCCTGACCAGAGCTGGGGGTCGAGCCTGCAACTGAGGTGTGTGCCCTTGGCTGGAATCGAACCTGGGACCCTTCAGTCCACAGGCTGGTGCTCTAACCACTGGGCAAAACTGGCTAGGGCAGGGTGGTAGTCTTTTCTACCACAGCTATGTTAAGGATTTTTCAGAAAGGGCATACATTTTCACAGAAACCAAATATATTTTAAAAATGATGCTTTTTCTGGCATTTTTACATGGTGTTTTTTTTTTTTTTTTAATGTATTTGTTGGTTAATGGAGATATTAAAATTAGATGATCTATCCACCAAACACTGCAAATTGGAAAGCGTACAAATCAGTTTCTTTGAGGCACTTTTTAAACATTATGCATTTCTAAGTGCAACTACATATAACTCTTAAAAATCTTCTCATGCCTGGTTGGTGCAGCTCAGTGGTTAAGTGTCGACCCATGAACCAAGAGGTCACCAGTTCGATTTCCAGTCAGGGCACATGCCCGGGTTGTGGGCTCAGTCCCCAGTGAGGAGCGTGTAGGAGGCAGCCGATCGATGTTTCTCTCTCATCGATGTTCCTGTCTCATGATCCCTCTGCCTTCCTCTCGCTCTCATATCAGTATAAACATATATATTTTAAATCTACTCATTTTACTCTGAAAATTTGTTTGAAAAATATAAAACTGTTAAATCACCATGTGGGAAATGAAAGTATTCTGTTGGCTCCTTCCTATCTGTCCTCATCTGTAACCTGTATAACACTTTGGTATGACTGCTTCATGACAGCATGGACACACTTGTGTATTATATGTGACTTGAGGGAGAAAAAGGAATAAATATAGTTTTTATAAAATGATTACAGAATTACTCTCTATATATCCAACAAACTTAGCTCTCTGGCTATCTTTAGAAATGCCCTCTGAGCAGCAGAGATACAATGTGTTGCTTCTATCAGACTTTAATGGGCCGATAACACTGACACACCAAAGTGAGTGGGGCTAGTTAAGGTGAGTGGGTCAAAGACTGAATAGTAGAGGTTAGGGGTAACTTAGTGGTGATTTATAGAGAAAGTATTAGGAGGGATTTACTTAGTATTAATTTCATCATCATCATCATCATCATCATCATCATCATCATTAGTAGACATGTATGTGTCTTTTTATTTCCAGCTGTGGAATGTTTGCGATGTAAGGTTTTCCTGTTGTCTTGTTATTTGAATATTAGAGTTGAAACTGAACGCTGGTTTTTGGACTAGTGGGCTCATTTGCTTCATATATGGTACTGTTACTAAAACGTTGAGGTCATAACTTTCTAGATAAGCCATTGTATGTATTTAGGAAAATTTTAAGTTGTCAAGTATTTGATGATCTTTGCTTTAAGAGAATTTGAGTTTGAAACAGCCGTCTGCTGCTTACCAGCTGCATCATCTGAACAAGGTACATGACCTCTCCGAGCCAAGCTTTTCTTATTACTGTGACATTTAGTGTTGTTTCTTGTTAGAATTTGAGATAACTTATGTGAAGTGATTACCTGTGTCCTTATTATGAAAAAGGCATGTTACTTAAACTGAAGGAATTTCAAATGAATCCAAATAGAGAAGTTTTCATTTGGAGTGAGAATACTGGAATATCTGTAACAAACATTAATGACTAAATCAAATGACAGACTTTCTTTTGCTTTTAAAATATGTTCTATGAAAGATGTCTCTATAGATGGAAACTACTCAATATGACAATTGCCTTTCATTTACTTAATTTTAGAAAAGTAAATTCGTGCTAAGAATCGCCTTATAACCCCTTTCTACTATGGGAAATAACAGTCTATAGCTCACATTTTAAAGACATTGAGTTAGTTTATTATCTCTTTTTTTCTGCAAAGACAATTTTGTTGTTGTTGTTTTTTTAATGCTCACCCAAGGATAATTTGTCCATTGCTTTTCAGAGAGAGTGGTAGGGAGAGAGAGAGAGAAAAAAAAATCTGTGTGAGAGACACATCGATTGGTTGCCTCCTGCGTGCACTCTGATCAGGGCTGAGGACAAGCCTGCAACTGAGGTGCGTGCCCTTGGCCAGAAGCAAATCCCGGACCCTTCAGTCCATGGGTCGATGCTCTAACCACTGAGCCAAACTGGCAAGGGCGACAATGTGGTTTTAATGGTCTTACAGAATTTCTATGTTGCAGCTTTAAAATTATGAAGAATAATTGTGAGGGTAAATATAAGAGAAGAAATAACCCATTTTCTTAGTTTTATGATTTTGCATATTTAGTTCCTTTAATAACTCAGATGTTAGGAATATTCTTTGAGCCACAACGCCTTAAATTCTGCATTGTACTATTATGAAATTATCTGTCCTATAATAAATAAAGATTAATAAATATTACTCTTTGAAAGGTTATGTTAAGATTAAATATGCTGCCAATAAATTTTAGCACTCTGTTTAAAGTCAGTGGAAATTAAATTTGCCATCCTGAAAATTACATTTGCTTTCTTTCTTCTACTTAAATTTTTTTAATGACTATGCAGAAATACAAAGTGCTTTTCAAAAAACTCTAAACCAATTGTGGAATGGAGATTAGAACCCAGGTTGCTTGTCATGATACAGTGAGATCACAATTTCTTTCTGAATAGCATACTTATGAAACATTTTATATTCATAAAAGTGTATTTCTTAGCAGTCTAATGAATGTGAAGAGACTAAGAGCTAACCCAAAGGCAAGGGAGCGTTGAGAAGAGATTCGTGAAATCGTTCTGAATGTAAAGTGGTTTCCCAGAGCACTAAAAATATGCCAACTATACATTCAGGTGCCGAAAAACGAGAAAGGCAGTTCATTAACTTCTGAATGAATTGGATTAAAGTCACAATTATTTATATTTTGCAATAGAAACTTTAGTTTACCTTTTACGTATGTGTTTGTATGTGTGTATGTGTGTGTATTTAATTTCTGTTTAATTGGTTTCCTGGCTTTTTTTCTTTTTCTCTTCCTGAACCTAGACCCCTTGACATTTTCTTCAACTATTTTTACCTTCTCGATGTGTTTATCATTTTTGTGGGCAGTTCTGCATATGAGTAAAGATTTACCAGGTAACTTCTGGGTATCATCTCATCATTCTAACAGACTGCTGAGAAACCTTCCCCGCTACTTCCTCACCTCTGACGAGATTCAGGCTTTAAAAATTCCTAGGCGTAGTGGTGTCTGGGGGCCGAAGTTTGACATGGTTGCATTTTAGATATCTAGAAAAACATGTCAAGCAATGACCAAGACTTTGTTGAGGCCAGAATGAATTTACAAGCTAGTGTTTTCTAGCATATATGTATTGATTTTTCTCTAGCAGCTAATCAATCAGTTTCAGTGGTATAAGTGATGGAACAAACCTTTTTAAGTGTGCTGGGTGAGTGGTGTGGAAACAACACCTTTCACTGCTGTCTCTGGAATCAAAATGTAGAGATGATGGATGAGCTGTTTTCATAGCTATCGCGTGCTTTTCTAGATCTCATTTGTGTGCTGTTACTCTTTTTGTCCCTTATAAATCTGAAAAAAACCTTGCAAGATAAGTGGCATAAACCAGTTATAGGAAGGTAAATAAATTAAGGTGAAATATTCAAAGTAGGGAGAAAATTTCTTGGTGCTCAGAGATTTTAGTATTGATGTTGGAATTTTAAAAGATGAATTGTTTTATTTCAAGACTTGCAAAGATACCATCTGTTGTGTATAAGAGTAATTGTGAAATGCAACTGAAAAACATTGCTTCCTACTCTTTTAGATCTGAAGGGATATGAGC